CGCGAGTCACCGCTATGTCACAGGTCAGTAACGTTACGTAACGCAAGGTCGACACCCGACACCGACCTTGGTTACGTTACACGTCACATGTCCGTTACGCTACGTCCTTGTGCCGTACCTACACAGAACACACTGCAGCCACGAGCGGAGAGTTTAAGTACTTGCATTGCGGGGTAAAAATTGTACTTTATGTGGTTCTAAATACGCTGAGTGAGCGTTGCACCCCTAGCGGATGTTTTTTATACATGTGATGCTGGATTAAGGTCATTGTCTGTATTCCTCCAATGAAATAAAATTCAGTCGTTAAAATAGAACAAGGGTCGAAAATTGTAGCGACAAATATATACTACTGTATTTATTTATTCACTCCATAAAATAAATTTGTTTGTCTTGAATTGAACTACGTTTGATGTTAATACTTATTTACATAAATTCATAGAAAAATGCAAATATTCTGACATCCATTAAACATGTAAATTGCCCCCGCCGCAACAGTCCCTATTTTAAATATCTCAGTGTGGAATAAATAAATTTTACTAATTTGATCAAAATAAACAAGCAAACTACAACAATTTACTTAAGTTTCCATAAAAATAAAGTAAGGATTTAAAATTTGCATTCCTTTAGAATTTTCCCCGTAATCATTAAGTGTACAACAATGCTTCAATGATACCAAGCTATGAGTTTTACTAAGCTCTACAAATTGGTTTGGTAAGAAATGGCAGAGGTTTTCCCCAGACGAAATATGGGAAACCAACAAATTTTTACCTCATAACACATGTTCTAATATGAAAATAGTAGTTTACGCAACGATTGCGTTAAGTGAGTCTTTACGACACGAGTAGAAAATTTAAGGCACGAGCCTTGGCGAGTGCCTTAAAAACTTCTACGAGTGTCGTAAAGACTATTAACGCGAGTTGCGTACACTACTTTACCTACGACCGTTTTTTAATTACTATCAATCTGGATTTAATTACTAACAATCACTAATGATAACTTTTTAGAGAGGTTATGTTTTCGTTTATTGTCATTGCCACTGAAAGTGATGCAACGACTTGTTGTATAATCAGCTCATTTCCTCTAATTACGTGTTTGTTAAACTTCGTTAAATATTACATTGCTAGCAGCATTCTTACCATAAATAATATTGTATCAGGTACAATTCGGCAAATATTTCATTTATTTTTGGACTTCCACCAACTTAATTAAGAATACGCGAGTATCAACATGAACAAGTCGGATCAACAATTAAATTGGTCAACTGATCAGCTGATTAGTTGACGTTCGAAGCATTACAATTTAATTCTTTTCTCTCAATACTTGAACCTCATTGGTCCGTTACCTGTGTGGATATGAGAAAACTATGCGGATATGAAATGAAACTATGCGGATATGAAAGTAAACAGCTGTAAAGTGAAACTTTTCAATTCTAAGAACTGGACTGAAATGGCTACTTTAAAAAACGGTCGTAGGTAAAGTATATTTCATCACTAGGGCGTAGAGTAACTCCTTTCGATCCGAGCTCAAACACCTGAGGTAGTGTTATATGACGAAATAGTATATTTCGTATCTTGGGCCGAAAATAAAGATGACAGCTGGCATTTCGACCCTGGTCAGCAATTGTAGCTTTCGACCTACAGTGTAAGCCTGCAGTAAGTTTGTAAAACGTATAAAAACATCGTAGTGTGGTGAAAAAGAGTTGTTCGTCATACTGCGGCAAAACAGTAGTTTTTAATGCATGCGTTGCGGGTCTAAGGTAGCATTTTTGGTCTATAGGCCTAAGGCGAAAAGTCATTTTTAGTCTCTAGGGAGTAAAAATCAGCTGTTGTAAATTTCGATTGTAGCAATCGTATGGATCGAAATTATTTATCGATTGATTTATTAGGTAAGGTCTTAGCCTATTGTAGATCGCTCGACATATCGAGGGTATAACACAATCGTAATAGACGAAATGATTGAACCACTTACTAAACAGCTGCTTAGTTGCATTAGCAGAATTGAAAACAAGTTGGAAGTCGTTTTGAGAGGTTATCTTTAAACAAAAATTATTTCGTTTTCTACCTTAGTTTGTTAATTAGCTATATGACGAAAAATATAGTTCACCGCACGGGCATAAAGAGTCCTTTAGACCCTCGCTCATTTTCCGAACTCGGCTTCGCCTTGATCGTAAAACTTGACCTCGGTGTCAAAAATAGTCCCTTTAGGCCCTAGTGATGAAATACACTATTTCGTCATACTGCAGCAAAAACAGCCTAATGTAAAAAATGTAAAGAATGTAAAAATGTAAGAATGTAAAAAAAAACAGCAAAAACATGTTAAAAACATGCGATGCGGGTCTAAAGTAGCTTTTTTACTCCCTAATGAGTAAACAGCCATTTTAGTCCCTAGGATCAGCTGCTGTAAACTTAATTGTAAAATTTGCGGTAAGCAATGACATGTATCGATTTATTTAATCGGTTGTAACTTATTTTTTATTCTTGTAAATAGTTTGGTATATCGAAAGTAAAATGCACACTAACAAAACAGTATAAGACGAAATGATTAAGTAACTTACTGAACAGCCGCTTCTTGTTTTCATTAGCAACAATGTGTCTTTTTAACCCTTGCTTCTTTAATTTATTTTTTACAGCAGTTTTGCATTTTTGACATTTAAATTATGAATTGTATAGCATATTCAATATGTTAATTTATTAATTGAATTGCAGATAAAACACAACGATTAAATGTTACCAACTAGGGTTAACTGTATACGGTAAAAGGTTAATAAAAAATAATGATCTAACAACATAACAGAAAGTGAAATGGAAAACTGCAACGAAATTCCCTTTTTATTCGGAAACTTTGAGAATCTGTCATATGGGTTTGCATATATTTTTAGTTAAAGTGTTTTTAATCGTAACAAATATAAATAATTTCTCTATTGACTTTAGTAAGAATAAACTTTTTTATTGCTTGTTTAATAGTATTTTCTTTTTAAAATTTGGATACTTTAGTTTGCATAAATTGATATAAAATAAAGAGAAAAATAATAAAAAAAAACTTGTAAAACTATGAACAAACGCCAACATATGTACAACCAGCAAAACTTATCAGCTTGCAGAGGTCAATAGCATAAAACCCACGCACAACCTACACAACCAGATCCCAAATGGAATACATCACAGTTAAACCACAAATAGACTATATTTGCAGACCGTTTAATATGCCAAACCACAAATATCGGCAGTGAAGAATGTTTGGACACCTGTCATTCAACGGTATGATAATAATTCCTTATGCTTATTATGCTAATCTGAGCTCAAGGTGTTCATTAAATACTTGATATGCCTCGAATTATCAAAACAAGAACGAACGAGTTTGGGAGCTTTATTAACCGCAATTTCAAAAATGTATTAAATTTTACTCTTTTTTATGTTAATGACTTACCTTCAGTTTTAAATTAATTATGATTGCTGACGACATTTTTCCTTTCCTGATAAAAAAAAATACTTCAATCACTAAACCATTTTGTTATGATGCAATTCTTAATGAGTAGATCATAAATTAACCTGGAAAACTCGCATGCGGACGTTATAACTAAAACGTGAAGAACGAAAATATAACCAAAGTTGTGCTATCAATTTAAATCACAGACCAGGGAATTTAAATCGTCTTACTCACCACAACTACATCCCTGTTCCTTCATTATTTTATAATAATAATAATAATGTTAGCAAATTGTTGATAGATACAGGAAAACATCACAAGGAGTTGTATCGCTAGAAGCTGTCACCTGAACTTTGTTAAATTCAATTTTTTAAATTTAATATCATGAAAACGAAATAGAAAAAACACAGCCCTCCACATTCTTTTGATAAAATATCAACCGTCGGGGGGAACCTTCGAACAGTTATATTGCAAATACAAGTGTAAATCAATATTTACGGCAGCAAGTGCAGGGTGGCATGCATAACTGATGAGACAATTAGTGAATAAAACATGCAAAATATGATAAAGTAAGGTATCGCTATCATTATGTAACATATGCTGCGATATAATCTCGAATTCAAATTATAAGAAAATCAACAGTAATGATAACATATCAATAGTAAAACCAGCACAAGATGTTCAAATGCAGTGATAACTACTTCCTTGCAAAAATAACTAATTAACACCCCCTTCGGGAAAACTGTCAGCGTTATTGAGAACTACAGTTATCTTACTAAAATAACCCTTTTTCTAAAGTTTTCTAAAAATATTAAATTCATAAAACGTTTTGCGAATTGTTTTGAATCTTGCAAAATAAAGAAAACTAAAAGGATGGCGTGCAAAAAGGATGTGACCATTAGTTAATAAACTATTCACAATTCACAACGTACAGATACTGAAAGTAGACATCACATATCCACTTAAACATATGAAGCATATGTTTATTACATATTACGTCAAAATCAAATTTGAAAATTAGTATTAATACAACATAACAAAATCAATAAATCGAAAATAACCAGCAAAGCATCGCCAAATCTGCAACAAGTTCATTCCACTTACTTAAATAATAACCCCTGTACATATAACTTCAAACATCCTATTTAGAGATATTTTAAAAATAAACTTCACCAAAATTGTAATAATTACTCCGAATCTCTAAAGAAATATAAATGAAAATAGTTTTTGATAAGACTACCAGTGCAAATAATTGACATTAGACAATAAAATAGGCATTACATATTTGAACGCATGGAGCTAAGTTATCTCAAATTCAAATTTAAGATCTATATTAATCGGCAAAGCATGAAAAAAATCCATGCTAAAAACGCTAAGGGTAAGTCTTGCACTTACAAAACCACTACCTTTGTAGGAAAACCTTAAAATAACTAAATTCACCTTTAATTCCGCCGATTACTTTGAATCTTTCGCAAAATAAAAATGAAAAATTGACCATTTTCGGTAATAATTGTAGTATGGCGTGCAAGAGGATGTAGCCACACCCTGGGCTCGACCTTGAGCCGGCATTGTGGTATATAAGCTGGCGGAGCCCTACACAGGCACTTAGGTCTCCAGAGAGGTTGTCCCCCCTGACTGTACAATGAAGGTCTTGGTGAGTACACAATCATCTTGGAAATTAACATTGCCTTAAAAATTATAATTTTTTTAAATTTTCAAATAACAATTGTATTTATCTCATAGTTATTTTTTATTTTTTCAATGTATATATTAATATAATATGAACAAGACTTTATTTATTTTTCAAAATCGGTTTGAAATCCAAAAATTTCTTAAGTGTTATAAAAAAGCGTTAACATTAATTTTGTTCTCAATTTGAATTTACCCCTTGATGTTTTTATTGAATAGTTTCATATGGCATTAACACGATGATTAATTTCTGAGATCCGTTACATTTACATTCATTGTTGTATGGGAAAACAAAATAAACAGTTATAATCAATCAATAAGGCATAACAATAAAATATATTCTTTTGCATTGTCATCTATGGAGATACTTTCACTGATTAACCTAACTTCACTTTTGCTCTAATGTTCCTATGGGGTTCAATAATAGGTTAAAACATTATAACAAAAACAGCACCTCTACGAAAACCCTGATAAAGGTCCCAATGCAAGAAAAATCCTAGTACAGTATCACGTTTACGTTTGTGTATATTTGTATTTACTAGACTAACAGTCTATACACTTATCAAACAGATTCTTAAGCAAATGTGTTAGAACCGAGAGGTAGAGCAGTATTTAATGGCATTTTCGAATAAGCAAACTTTACTCTATTATTGCATTGAAAATAATCAGCAATAAACATAATATAGGTAGACAATATATAAATATCTGACAAAATCGGTCACTTATTGTTGTAGACTTTACAAAATAATGCTTATTTTGGTGCTTCGCACACCTTACTAACTTTACACTGTCAAACCGCCAAACTAGAGTTGTAATTTAAGTGACAAACTTATTTTAAACTTTAATCTTTAACGAAATAAATCCTTTAGAATTTTAAAGAATAAATTATTAGTAGTTACTCTGTGTACGGCCAGTGAGTGACTTTAACGCTCGGTTTGTAAAGAGCGTGGATTCCTGAGGAGCGTGGATTCACATTAATTGATGAGGAGGATTCAAATTAATTGATGAGGAGATCTTTTGCTTGGTTTCAGCTTACTGAATGCTAATTGTTTGATTGATCAACCTATTCTCAAGGGATTGTTTAAATGATTTTACAAGATTATTCTATAAATCTGACTCATCGTGACTGTAATAAAGTCTTAAATGAATTGTTTTCTAGTGAAATACCTATATGCTTTTTAAGCAACACTTAATTCCAAACCAACTTCAACTCAACCTCGTAACATAATTTAATTAGCAAAGAAAATCAGTAAGAGGCTGCACACTTAGAAATTAAAAACAATTCTGGACAAACTTAAAATATTTTAAAAGATTGGTCTAAAATAGATTGTCATTGGTTATAGAGGGGCAGAGGGCTTAAAAGTGTTGACGCTTTGTTACAAAATGTCGTCGGTGGGAAAACAACGGGGTATTAAAGACTTATATGGTCACCTTTAGATAAGAGGTCAACGAAAAACCTTCAAAATATCAGCCTATAAGGTAAAATAGAACAGGGTTTCCAATACAGTCTCTAATTTCTGTTTAAGGTAGTATAACCATGGTAATGTATACCATAATCCATAAATCATAATAATATGATGTTGGCAACATTAAACATTGATTATTGTCAATAATGTTAAAAATACATGAATTGAATGATTGTCGTGTCAACAGGTTGTTCTCTGCGCTGTCGCGGCGGTGTGCGCTGCTAAGCCTTACCTGGCTTACGCGCCGGCACCTGCCACCTCCTACAGCTACAGCACCTCCGTCGTGAGCGTCAACAAACCCGCCGTCGCCGCCTACTACGCTCCTGCCGCCCCAGTCGTCCACGCCGCCCCCGCCCCCCTAGCCTTTGCCGCTCCCGCTGCTCCAGTGGCTTACGCAGCTCCCGCCCCCGTGGCTTACGCTGCTCCTGCCCCCGCTGTTGTTGCTGCACCCGCTCCCGCCCCTGTGGCTTACGCTGCGCCAGCTCCAGCTGTGGTCGCTGCCCCCGCTCCCGCTCCCGCCCCCGTAGCCTACGCCGCTCCCGCTGTTGTTGCTGCCCCCGCTGTCAAGACCCAGTACCACGCTCAGAACGAGCATGGAGAGGCTTCCTACGGACACTCCGAGCCCGGCCAGACCCACAACGCTGTCCAGGTATGTTGACACTTAAGCATCCCTTTTTAGATTTTTATTCTGTAATCAGGCCAAATAAGACAAAGTCCAATCTTATCAACCACTGAAACGCCAAGATGACGTTACTTAATCCGTCATTTAAGGAGCTAGTACTCAACTACTATAATCAATAACTGTTCTGTTTTTAAATTAGGGGCCATTTAGTTTGGGATTGAATTATATATTTTCAAGGTAGAGAAAGACAATTTGAGTGAGTGCACGAATCCTTAGGGGACGGGGATATACTTTTACCTATGATTATGACTCTCATAGCTCTTAAAAGTTTCTTGACTAAAAAAATGCAATACAGTACATCCGTTTGAAAAATATATTTTGCTTGTCAGGACGCTCACGGCAACAAGATCGGCAGCTTCAGCTACGTCAACCCCGAGGGCCAGGTGCTGAGGACCGACTACGTCGCTGACGGAGCTGGCTACAGAGTCGCCTCCAACGCTCTGCCCGCCGCCCCCATCGTCGCTCCCATCGACACCGTTGAGGTGGCCGCCGCCAAGGCTAACTTCTTCCACCAGTACGCCGCCAAGGCCGCCCCTCTGCACCGCCGTCGTCGTAGCGCCGTCCTGGTCCAGACCCCCGCCTCCACCGCCCCTCTGCCCGCCCCCGTCACCTATGCCGCCCCCGTAGCTCCTGCTGTCGCTTACGCCGCCCCCTTGGCTCCCGTTTCTTATGCCGCTCCTTTCCCCTACGCCGCCGCCCCAGCTGTAGCTCCCGTTTCCTACGCCGCTCCCTTCCCCTACGCTGCCGCCCCCGTCGCCTACGCCGCCGCTCCCGCTGTCCGCCCCGCCGTCCTGACCACCGTAGTCAACAACCCCGGTCACGCCGTGTCCTACAGGGTCGACTAGACGTCTCTCCATGACGTCACTGTCACGCCGCTACGAGTCAGAGCTGTCGAGACCTCTGCTGGACTTTAGCGGCCCCTGCAGTACCACGTGCACCCCCCCCCCCAGACTGACATGTACATAGCTACACAACCACCTGAGTGTATTTAAGTTCAACCCCCTGAAGTCAATAAACTAGTTACAATACAATAGTACTTGCTTCCTTCATTTAAGCGTCTCACCAACCATCTCCAAGTCTCCCCTGGATTAACTGGTCCAGACAACAACCTTAGTTGTAATCGTGCTTCAAGCATGTGGTGTTCGATCATGGACCGACTACACATTTTTAAAGTCTATACTTTAGCACCCTCCTTTAACTCCCAAATCAAATAAGCGCAAATATTTTTCAAATCTACAAATACTTTTGTGTCTGAAAATTTGTTTACACAATGTATAGTAGTCATTAAACTTTCTTTAATAATTGCGCATTCTGGTCATTAGATACAAAGCTAATTTTAAAATGAACAGTTGATGAAAAGCTGCCCTGTTTTCGCTAATTGCCACTAGGAGCTCAGTTCATATTTATGGGGACTTTTGGTATAATCTTCCCTAGGTACCTAGAAATAAGTGTGCACAGTTTCAAAACTTTCGGATTTTTCCGGAGGTTGGGTCATTAATTTATATATTTTGACTAGGCTAATTAAGCCAAAAAAGAGGAGGGGGAAGCAATAAAATATTTTCGTCAACCCACCAACATTTTGCGAACGGACGGTTCTCGCTAGATTCAAGTTCAAGAGCAAGATAGTGATTTACGAGCTAAGCGAAACAGCAGACCAAAAACTACTATAGTGACCCGGATTAGAACTTTCGTGACAAGAACGGTTCTTGTCATCACGATGATAATAATCACAGAGCTTCTAGGTAGCCTTTTAAAGTCTACTAATTATCTTTTACAGTAATTTGGCGTACCATAGTTGCAAAATTAGTTTTAAAGTCAGCTGTGTAATAGTATATTTCGTACCTTGAGCCGAAAATGAGGTTTTGTGGGATCGAGATACCTTTTAAAATGATCCAAAGCTGCAAAACCATTTCGGTCCGTGGTACGAACGCAATTTTTCACCACACTATAAACTATTACAACAACTATTTACCACAACAATAAAGCACACTAAAAGTCAACACAGCTACAACTTTAAAGTTATGCAAAAAGAAATTGAGGATTCAGCAAAAATAATAAATAGTTGCTAGGTAAAGGTGACAATAAAACAATTCAATTGCAATGCTATGGATACTGATTGTGTATTTAATATGCATTCATGTTTTAAGAAGTAAGCAGGCAGCTGATTTTGCGGCCCTAGAGATGTAAAAACCTGCTCGGTCCCCAAATGACGATGACAACTGGCATGTCCAGCAAAACGTAACTTTCAGCCACCAATTAACGTATGTAAAACAGCTAAAATCATCACAGTGTGGTGAAAACAATATTCCTCGCAATAAAATAAAACGTACACGAGGGGACCCGTGCGCAAATAGCGAATTTCAATAGGGTTCGACACTTGTTTGCAAGGTAAAACGAAAATTGCAATGTCCTTTTGCCTTTCAAAGATTATATTCGTTTCCTGCAGTTATTTAGTGAATACAACTAGTAATTTACAATACATTTTTCTGTAGATGTAAACCATAAAGAGCAATTCATCAACCTCAATAAGGTTACAATCATAAACAAAATTAACGTGATTAAAATTCATTTCTACAAAGTTGTATTCACTAAATAACTGCAGGAAACGAATATAATCTTTGAAAGGCAAAAGGACATTGCAATTTTCGTTTTACCTTGCAAACAAGTGTCGAACCCTATTGAAATTCGCTATTTGCGCACGGGTCCCCTCGTGTACGTTTTATTTTATTGCGAGGAATATTGTTTTCACCACACTGTGATGTTTTTAGCTGTTTTACATACGTTTACAGTCTGTAGGTAAACATTAAACTGAAGGATCAGCTATACTGGGTGGAAAAAGTCCCGGGGCGGTTAAATATTTCCAAAAGTAATACAGATAGAGCTTCAAAACTTGGTACAGAGTTAATAATCATTAAGATCATCTCAACACATTATTCAAAGATGCGCTACCTCTTCAGGGGGACGACCCGCAAGGTGTCAGAAGAAAATCTTAAACGTAAGCATAGGTTGATATGTACATCAAATTAAAGGTCTTTGTTTGTAAAATACAATGCCACAAAACCCGAACTTAAGCGGACAACCGACTCAAAAATTACAGCTATTCAAATATGCATTAAATTTGCATTGTTATAATACGCTACATCCTCAGGGTGGCGCCCACTAGAAGTTGGAAGAAAATCATAAACGTATGCATAGTTCTATATGCATGCACATCAAATTAAAGGTCTTTATTAGTAGAATATGATGCCACAAATTTTAGCTCAAAAGAACAACTGAGTATAAAATGGCAGCCGTTCAAAGATTCAAAATTGCAGATTCAAGAAATCTTTTATCGGCTGCCATTTTTTACTCGATTTTCCGTTTGAGGTCACGTTTGCGGCGTTGTATTCTACTCGTAAAGATCTTTAATTTTAGGTGCATATCAACCTAAACATATTCTTACATTTAAAATTTTCTTCTGACTCCTAGTGGGACGTTCTCCAGAAGGGTAGTGTATCACTTAATCATGTGTTAAAATGATGTTAATGACAAGTAACTGTGTACCAAGTTTGAAAGCTATAGCTTTATTACTTTTTGAAATATTTAACCGTCCCGCGACTTTTTATCCACACTGTATAAAGGAAGTTTGTTAGCATCTTTGGATCTTTCAAAGCGAAGTCTACAAATAAATCAAACGCTGTCGCTATGGCGGTGAGCCTTAAAGGAAATTACACTTTTAGATACCATTCGTCACTCTGCTAGATCATAAGCTTAAAAAATATGTTAAGTAGAAGGGGTAAAAAAGGAATGTTACAGAGAACCCCCTTATTGTATTAAGTATATAGAGAAGTAGAGCTTCTGTAAAGGAAAACGGAAACTTCATTTGTTTGGCACAGGAACAGGAAAATTCTTTTAAAAAGCCAAAGTATTATTTGGGGCAGAAAAAGTAGTGTTTAGGACAGAAGAAAATGTATGTTTTACTAGATTGGAAATTGATATTTTCGGATAGCTCATCTGTAAGAAAATGAGCTATTTTCATACACAGAGTGATGAAAAATTTTATTCGTTACACTCAATGTCGGTTAATGTATGCGCATGACCCCGTGCGAGCAGTCGTTGTCCTTAGCTCATGACAAGGCCTACTCACACATTGCTCTTAACCTCATGAGCAATATTAAAATATCCAACCAGTTTTCATGAAATATTTCACCCTGACCTGAATATGTTCACACCCGATACATTTTTCATGTATTTTCACTGTACATTTAAGTTAGTTACATCAGGCTATTGAAAATTAAATCGCACAATGCCTAATTAAAGTGCCCATTATCCCCTTTCTTCCTTATTCTTACGACCATGACCAATGCATCTTTTCCATAATCGTTTTATGACCATTCTTACCTTCTAATTGACCTAATTGATGGATGAGAATCAGGAAGATATTTAGCCTGACCATCTAATTAATATTGACTCGACTTGGAATATTCTTTGATCAATCTTCTCATATTTTCACCTACTTTATATTTGGCATTTTTCTTTTGGTTTCCATTGCAAAATAATAGGCCTAGCATTTTAGTAAATTGAAACATAATTAACAAAACTGAATTTATTGAACTCACAAATCAGACTGAACTAAAAAGTAAACAAAAACATAATAATATAAACAGTAATCTGACAGATGTTATAAATGAAACATATGAACTTATTTCTTGATACATAACAAGCATATAGGTTTCCCTATAAATATTTGCATCTATGTTTCATTTCTCCTACTCATCATTGATCTAGCAATAACATGTGGTGCTTGAAAAATCACTTAGTTTCGTTTTAAAAGATGCCAAAGATTCAAAATTTCGCATTTTAACGAGCATTTTTACCTTTGTTTGTTATTTAATTATTTTTCGTTAAAAAATGAAAGAAGGTCAAGAAAGAGAAGAAGGTCAATGTTCTACTCAGTTAAACAACAAACGCAAAACAGGCAACTCACAATATTGAATTTCTAAACATATTAACTAACCAATTTTTATGGCTGAGTAACGGGGGACCGAGCCATGGCTCGATATAGTTTATTTCGATTGCAAAAGTAATATAAAGGAAACTCACGTTTTACAACTAATTTTGAATTTTTTATGAATACAGCCGCCCAAATTTTGTAAATTTGTAGGATATAAAAAAAAATCATAAAGCTTGTAAAATCTCCCCTTAAATAATACACATTGAGTTGATGCCAGTGCACTCAAACGGCACCAACACGAGACACTCATCACTTATCAACACTGACTAGGGTAGATTTTCCCCTATGAGTAATCTTCAATGTAATCTTTGCTCCTTAGTTACATCAACTGATGATTATCACTTTGTACCGTATTTTATAATTTGCTAGTATACTGGGGATGGCTTGTTATAAACACGTTTCAAGTGTTTTGTTTACTTTTTACTTGTAATTTTGTTCAACCGACATAGTTACTTGGCAACCCCTAAGGCCAAATAAAATTTTCAAACGATAAGTGTAGCGAAATACAAATTTTCCTCAGGTAGTAGCTGTTACCAATCACGTTTTTTAGGGCTGTAAGAACCTAATTTCAAAATTTAGTCAAAATCCTTCCTCTGGATTACGAGAAAATATTGTAGACAGACAGACAAACAGACATAGCTCGTATTAGAATATGGGATATATATTTTGAGCCTCACACCATTTTATGTAAATGAGGCAATAAAATATTACCACAAGGTTTTTAAAATGTTTTGAAAACGTTTCCTCTCTAACTAGGTTTTTTAACAAATGGTTTACTTCATTTTGTTTATTTTGAACCATTAAATCTATTTGTTAATATTTTTGTTAATCTACTTACGGACACCTTGTATAATCATAGATAAAACATACTAACAGAACCATAGTTTAGATTTTAATTACTTGTGCATGTAAAACTATTTTTACACCCAATAAATTTAGGAAGTGTCGTCATTACAAAACAAACCTATGCCTAGGTATTATGTTGACAAAAATGATAATTACATACTGTTGCCATACATAAATAAATAATAGTAATATTT